TACAGTCATATGTGTTATTAGCATAACCTAAACCTTGACATTTAAAGTGTACAAAGATTTATTTCCTCAGCTCCAGCCCCGAACTGTCCTCTTCTTTTTCTGTATGTGTTGCATGTCTGCTTCTAAACTTACAAATGGCTTGTATAAGGTACAGCTCCCAAGCATAAAGGTGACACATTTTACAAATAAATAGAGAAAAATGAATCAACCTCTAGGCTGATATGGAGCTGTATTGTAACCTGTCCCAACCCCCTCATCCTATGCAGTGTCTACGCCTAACGTGCAACTGTACCTACATCTTGCCATAGTAAGTTAATATTGTAAAGTGCCTTGAGATGACATGTGTTGTGAATTTGGCGCTATATAAATAATCTGAATTGAATTGAATTAGAATTGAAGTAAATACAAAATTACAAACACAACCAATATCTTTTCTAAATTCAGTTTTGTTTTTTGTGTGAAAATAATAACAAGCAAACAAACAATTAACATACTTTGCATTTAGTCCCTTTTAAACCGTCACCAGCAAATAAGACCTGGATAAACTCCTTGTCCACCTTATAGTGAAGCAGTCAACCCTTTAGAACTGTGGGTAGTGCTCAGGGCATTTAGATTGGATCCTTATTATAAAAATTTCCCCGTCTCTCTCCAAGTTGAACCAGCATATCCAGCGCCCTCTTCCAAGTTCCAAGAGCCCTTTGACTGTCTGTCTCCTTGAGCTAATGTCATTTCACTAAAGTGACAGAAAAAAGGGACAGCCTGTCATATTAGATTATACATTCCCATCTAATATATTTTAAACTCAAAGCAAAAATATTTTACTACACAAATATGATAATCACAAGAGGAGTAATTTCCAAGAGCCCTAAGGGATAAAAATACAGTGTGATTATGCACTCGGCCAGTAGAGGGTAACATGTGCAAATAAAGCTGAAAAAGAAACAAGAACTCTTTTTTGAAGTAATTGATTTAGGTGTTTCAATGCCTTATGAGCTCATTACCTACACCTCCTACATGAGAAATGACTTTACAAAACTAACTAAAACTCCTGAGACCTATTTCACAAAAGCAGAATAAAGAAATACAGGAAAAGAGATAAAGAAATAAAGTTTTATTAGTTTAATTTACTCTAAATAATGAATATATCATGAGTCAGTTCAGCAGTGGTAATTATTTAAACTAAAACTAATTATAACTGCCAATCAAACAAATATATGACGATCTGCTTACAATCTAACACCATTATTCAATGGCTGCCATCTCCAGAATTTCTTCAATGACTCAGCCATTGTAGGCTGTGTTTCTGAGGGGAACGAGCTGGAGTATCGATCCGTCATCATGAAGTTTATGGATGGGTGTGAGAAGAACCACCTGAGTCTTAACACCAGTAAAACCAAAGAGATGGTGATTGACTTCAGGAGAAGACCCCCACCTCACTACCTCGTTAACATCCAGGGGCAGGACATAGAAACTGTGGAGAGATTCAAATTCCATATGTCCATGTCAATAACAAACTGGACTGGACTAATGACATGTATAAGAAGGGCCAGAGCTGCCTCCACCTCCTGAGGAAGCTGAAGTCCATTGGAGGGAGCAGACCCATGCTTAAAACCTTCTATGACTCTGAACTGGCATCAGCCCTCCTCTACGCTGTTGTCTGCTGGGCCCCTGGCAGCACAGAGTGGGGCAGAAACAGACTGAACAAACTATAGAGAAAGGCCATGGCTGAGAGGAGTGTGCTGTCCAAGTTTACATCCATCATGGACAACACCCTATACCCTCTGCACCAGTCTGTAGAGGAGCAGCTCCTTTAGTGAAAGACTTTCACACCCTTTTTGTAAAAAGGAATGCGACCGTAGGTCATTCAATTCAATTCAATTCAA